GCAACCAAGAGACCAGATTAGATTCTCTGTATCTCGTAGAGAAGCAAGGGAGAGAGAGTTGCAAGAAGCTTGGGGAGGATTAAGCTTAGGAAACTCCATCCGCCCGCATTTCTCCAGACTTGAACGAGACAAGGCAAGTTTCTAAATAAATTACTTGAGTAGTTTTTCTTTTGTTTTTTCTTTATGTCAATCTTCCTGCAACCAAAAACAGAAAAAGATATTAGTTTTCCATATTTTAATGAACTTGTAGTTGTCGATTCTTTCCTTTCAGGCTGCTTGGAAAAAAGCTGAAGAGGAGGAAAGAATGCAAGCCATGAAGGAGGTGTTGTAGGCTGCACTTCGCATTTTGTACAAAATTTTGTAATATATACTTCTTTTTTGGATTCATTGAATGTTTCCTATCCCTGCATGTAACAGTTTTATGTCCCAGGGGAGGGGAGTTTCCTTGGGCCTCCGCCCCCTCTATTTGCACAAATATGTCAAATCCTTTCTTTCCTCCCTGGAAATCCAACGTATGACCAGTGCCATATCTTTCTAATTTTCCATCTAATTTTCCTCTATTTGCATAAGATAATCATTAGGAATTGAATTCAAAACTTAATAAGGATGCATTGAATCAATAAATTTAAGGTAACGTTTGATATGAAGAAAGCATGCGTACATTCTTTGTAATGTATTCAATTAAATTATATTACAGTATTTATTTTGCAACAGACCACGACAATATAAGATTGTAATGTTAACACATAGTCTAGGAATGTAATGTGATTGTAGTCTAAAATCAATACAATCGCACTACATTGTATTTTTTAATGTTCACATTTTTATCCTTCAACTTTATTACCTTATTAAAAATATTTTATAATATTATAATTAAAATAAAAATATTAAAATAAAATATATAATATAAAAATCAAAAAAAAATTAAAATATAAAAAATTAAAATTTATATAACATAAGTAAAAGAAATTAAAATATAATATATAATATAAAAAGTATATTAAAAAATAAACTATATACTATTATAATAAAAAATAAAAATAAAATATATAATATTAAAAATATATTTAATAAATAATATTATATAAAAATTAATAATAAAAAATATAAATATATTAAACTTATATTTTAATAAACAAAAATAATTTTAAAAATTAAAATTACATTTCTAATAAAATATTTATAAACTAAATACTATAATATTATTTTTTATATTTTTTTTATTATTTTATTTATATATAAATACTGTAATATTATTTTTTCTACAATAACATTACTTGTAATCATATTATATTGTAAACTAACAAACTTACTTAAATATAATTAAAAAAACCTTTTCTTATCCATTTCACACACTCTAAATGTAAAAAAACCCTAATAACAACAGAATTATACTATTAGCAAATTTTAAGGTAACTCCTGTTAGTTTTTTTCCATCCCCTTTTTGATAATTTCCGAAAGGAAGAAAAAAAAAAGAAAGAAAATTAAGCAACATCGATTTTTAACCTCTACACTTTTGGCCCCACTGACGTTACTTTATTCGCATCCACTTGTACGCGGTGCTTCATTGTCTGCATTCCCTGTTTCCCTTCCCCTGACTTTTTATAGTAATATTTTATTATCTCTCTACTGTCTTCTGCCTTCTAAAACTCACCTTCTTCCAAGGCCCTCCTCTGTTTCTTCTCCTTCAAAACCTCAAATCCCATTTGATCAAACCTTTTCCCACATCTTATCATCCACCATGGGAGGAGGAAATGGGCAGAAATCCAAGATGGCACGTGAGAAGAACCTGGAAAAGCAAAAAGCTGCTGCCAAAGGTATTGTAATATTTCTGCCTTCTTCTTTTCTATCTCTATCTCTCTGGGGTTTTTTTTTTTACAAAAAAAAAACTTCTCTTTTAGTTAGATCTATTCTTCATACTAAGATTTGCTTTGTTTGATTTTTGTTTTGATAGGAAGTCAGCTTGAGTCTAACAAGAAGGCCATGACCATCCAGGTAGTATCTTTGCATGCTCTGGGTTCGTTTACTTTAGATTTAACACTATCTTTGCTTGATCTGTTGTTTTTTCTCAATTGATCTATGGGTATTTTGTTTCCTAATATATCTAGATCAAAATTGACAATTTGAGATGAATATCTTTTCCTTGCATGTATGTTTGCAGCTTTCTTTAAAGTTTGTATATTTCTGGGTGTTGAGATACTATTAGGATGTATAGCTGTGAGCATAATCCCATAATTGCCTTTTTGTCACCTTTTGGCAAAATTAGACACTGGATTATTAGCGTTTTTTTTTTTTGTATACATAGTTGGACTATTTGCAGTGATGTATCATGAGTGAGGAGATTGTTGTTTACATGATTTAGGGATTTTTAGATTAAACTATATAGCTGTTGGAACTTATTTCTTAGTTCCCCTCCTTGAAATTATAATTTTGATTGAGGCTGTTATCACCTCTCAATACTACATTGTTCTAATATTTTGCTCAATTCCCTTCCATTGGAAAACCGCGAGATGTTTGTTTTTTTTTTTTTTTTTGCTCTGTGAAAAACCGTGAGATATTAACAGTTGAGTTTAGCTTCTCTTGCATGAACTTGTCAATTTTGATGAGAAGAATCTGTATGTCTTTTTTATCCTTCCTGAAATTTGCATCTTTTACTAGAAGAGATTATTGATGGCAAAAACTGTCCGTATTTTTTTGTACTTTTGTATCTCTAGACGCTCTCTTCTTGTTCTGTTTGTATGGAGTTTGGTGATAATTGAAGACTTGCAGCATGTTGCAATCTGGTTCCTGAGATCTACCTTCTTTCTTTTAGCTTTGGACCTGCCCAAAAACCATTTCTTAACACAAGATCATCTTCACTGTAATGAGAATTCCACAAATTGTTCATGAAGATTACAGAATTTCTGCATTTCAAGTTTTTATGACTACTTCTGACCTTTTGGTTTGTTTTGCGTTTTCAGTTGTTGTATATGTTAATCACTGATCACATGAAAGTGAATTCAAATTAATCATCCTTATCTTTGATTATTCATTCATTTATAGGTTTAGTTAATAATGTTAATGAGTTAGACGCATTTTATTAAATCCATTCACAATGATTGTGACTTGGCTTTTGTTTGTTGTTTACATCATTGTTGGCCTTGTCTCTGGTTCCTCCGATATTGTATGTGGTGGATGATGGGGACTGAGTACAGTGCAAGGTGTGCATGCAAACATTCATGTGTACCACATCAGAAGTGAAGTGCCGGGAGCATGCTGAAGCGAAGCATCCTAAATCTGATGTATCCACGTGTTTTCCTCATCTTCAAAAGTGACACACAAAACTCAATGAAAGAACTGGGAGTTTGAGATGGCTTGTAGCATATATCTATCTTGTACCTTGCTACTTATGATTAGCTTCCTAAAATCTCTTTCACAAGCCTCTGAACTCACCACTGAATTTTATTGCCACCATTGTCATGCTGTGTTCAGTCCTGGGTGTCAATTGAATCTATTTGGATTTTTAGCAGTTTCTCTTACTTGTTGCTTGGTAGGCATACAATTGATGTGGTAAAGCTTTCATAATTCTTGTTTGCACGGAAGCCTGTTAAAGCATTAGTGGCCAGTCTTTGCCTTGTGGAGCACTAAAACATTCATCCATCAGGCAGACAGGTTAATGGATGGCAAAATGCTTTTGCCTACACCAAATTGGCCTGTTCAAGCAGTTAATGATTGTTGCTTTTTCTTTACTGAAGGTACTGCCTGTATTATTTGGTTTAATGTGTTCCATGGCATTAACTGCTTTTATGATAAAAAAACTTTTGCTTTTGTCTCCGGCAAGTAATAACATAAAAAAGAATGCAACTTTGAAGACAAAATCTGAGAGCTTTTCCCTTCGTTAGGCAATTACCAACAGTAAGGACCGGTTTGGTGCCCTCACAATAGGGGTTCGGCTTCATGAACAGTCTGCTATGGATCCATCGAAAGCCCAAATATACTTTCCTTTGGGCATTAACTGTATTTTAAACCAGTGCAACTGAGAGAGAGTCATTGACTCAGTGAGGTACGAACAATTTAAAACAAGACCAACAAAACACGCAAAAAAATCCTCACATTCCCACCAGGGAGGCAGCTTCCTTGCTTCGTGTTCTCTGGTTTCCAAGTTGACTCCAAGAAAGAGTCAGTGAGAGTGGCTTAGACAGCCTCCAAGTGGGACCCACACCACGCGGCAGAAGACTGAAAGACACGACCAATGTGTGAATTTCCACAGGTTCGCCCCACCCCCACTAACTCGCACTCTTTCCAGTCTCAAACAGTAATAACTCTCTCCTCTTGCTACGTCTGCAGAATTGACTTGACTTACTTTACCTCCTACCTGCTATCTCGCCCTTTTAAGTTTTCCTTCTCTGTTTTTGTTTTACTTCTTCCTTACCTCTCTTTGTCTCTCTGCAATGGCTCCTCTTTCTTTGTTGTCCTTGTTTCTTTCTTTCCTTCTATTTCTTTCGCCTGCTATTTCAACCAACTCTGAAGGTACTTAACTAGTCACTACCCATCTACGTTTTTCTCTTTAGGGTTTGAAATTTCCATCTTTTTTCTCCATTCCTCTGTTGAAGGATGAGAGGGGATTTCCATATAAAAATATAGCTTACAACAATTGTGTGAGATGTATAAGGAAGGGCTTTTTCCTTTTCTTTTGGTTTTGCTATTTTTTAATTTGTTAAGTTGCTATTTCCTGGAAAGCTATATAATAAAGCCTGGGTTGTTTAAAATTTACCATTTTGTTGGTTTCTGGTTGCAGGAAATGCTTTGCATGCCTTGAGAAGCAGGCTTTCTGACCCCACCAATGTGTTGCAGAGTTGGGACCCTACTCTTGTCAATCCCTGCACCTGGTTTCATGTCACCTGTGATTCTAACAATCATGTGATTCGTTTGTAAGATTCCTTCTTCATTGCTGGATCTTTCTTATAATCAAAATTTAGAATATTTTGTTTTTGGTTTATTCAGTTCCATTGTCTCTATCATTTTCCTCTTCCTAGTTCTTTTGATTCTTATTTTAAAATGTATAAACTGGATTTGATGCTAACTTAGTGTACTAAATATACTTTCTTTGTATTACAGGGACTTAGGGAACTCTAATATCTCTGGGACTTTGGGGCCTGAGCTAGGTCAACTCCAACATCTGCAGTACTTGTATTTCTCTCTCTTCCTGACAATTGCTCCTTGTTTTTAATTATGCTTTGTTTGGTTGAACAGAAAATTAATGAAAGCAAATGAATTTAGATTTTGAATTTTGCTTTCCATTATTGTTGGTTTAAAAGGATATGTACGTTCTCCTGAACATGTCATTGTATCCCAAGTTCAACACAATCATGCATGTTTAGTTTCTAAGTACCCAAAATCAGAGGAAAATTTTGGACTCTAGTTTTACTATATTTGTCTTTATATATCATTTACCTTTCCATGCTTAAGCTGTTTATTTAAAAAAAAAAAATCTTCATGTGAAATAGTTTAATATAGTAGTAATCAGGTGTGAAAATTTTCAATCTCTGCAGGGAGCTTTATAAAAATGACATACGAGGGAAAATTCCTGAGGAGTTGGGTAATCTGAAGGACCTTGTTGGCATGGATTTGTATGGTAACAAGTTTGAAGGAGAAATACCCAAGTCTTTCGCCAAACTGAAGTCACTGAGATTCCTGTAAGCAACTTCACATGGATCAACTTAATAGTTTACTTCAGCAGTTTGCTTAAATTAATTTAGTGTGCTTGAATCTATTTTGCAGTCGTCTTAACAACAACAAGCTAACAGGATCAATTCCAAGGGAGCTCACTACCCTCTCAAACCTCAAAGTATTGTAAGTTCAGTGGAAAGGAAATAAAATGAAAAATCCAAAAGCTTTTTTCTTGCTTGTTTTGGATCTAATTTCCTTTCCTTGCTTGTTTCATGATATGTGGTTTATGTATTAACAAAATGTTTATATTATCAATGCAGTGATGTTTCTAATAATGATCACTGTGGAACAATTCCCGTTGATGGCCCTTTTTCAATGTTTTCAATGCGAAGGTACCCTTTTATAATATTTCCAAAATTTAAGCTATTTTTAACTATAAGAATGTAGGAAGTCGACCTGATTGTACATCTCTGTATTATTCAAAGCAGTCATTGGTTGAAAAAAAAGAATGAGAATGAGCAGGAAGAAATAACTGTGTCCTCTATTCCATTTGCATGAATGAGATGTATTAGTGATACCTGAATAGGTATCTTCAACTATTTAGACTTGTTCCAAACGGTAAATTGGCAAGTTTTTGCTACCCTGCATTGCATATATTGATGTTCCTGCTGGTTGCATCTGATACAAGTGCTTTTGGATGAGTATCTTGGGAGTGAAACCAATTAGCAGTAAACCTAGAAGCCTAGGATTATTTTGAATCTATTAACTTAATGAGAATGTGGGTATGCTTGACACCCCTGCCCCAAATTCACCTGAAACATGGGTTACCTGTAGGAGTATACGGTCTATGGTATGGTGGCCGTGTAGTTGTAACAGTATGTCAAGCCCTGGCCATGAAACGGAGCTTTTATCACAAAGTGAAAGAACCATTCAGTTCAAAACTTAAGCTAATATGTTAGGGCTAAAGAATAAATGTTATAATGTTTAACAAACCTTATGAGCCTAAGTGCAGTTACATATATGTAAATTTTTTTATGCCAGTATCAATTTAACTAAACTGTTTGCTTCCTGGCTTTGTTTCAGCTTTGAAAACAACAAGCGTCTTAATGGACCGGAGCTGAAAGGACTTGTGCCTTATGACTTTGGCTGCTAAACAAGCTAGTGTTCACCGAAGGAACTTTGATAAAAGTACAAGAATTGTAATGCCCTATCTTATGATGTAGCAGTGGGACTGCCTGCTATTTCTATGTAGTTTAGTTTGATAGTGGTGTTGTTTTACCTTTATAGTCTGCAGAATAAAATGATCTGGGTTTTATAACCTCAAGTTTTGCACAGGAATATCTTTGTTTGAATCGGTCATGATATCAATATAATTCTGATCATGATCAATTGAACAGGGGCCTAAGGGCAGGACAGGCATACTCACTGTCGTAGGATGTACTTACTCTCATTTAACACCCCGTCAGGCTTCATTTGTACTAAAAAGCCCAGTAAGGTAGAGATTAGAGATAGGCCCAAGTCCTTACGTCAAAGCAGAAAAAATAGGGCAAAATATGCCTAATAAACAGAAGTGGAGGGACGTAAGTGCAAAGACGCAATTCGGAGTTGGATTGAACTTTGAAGGGCTGGCCTAAATTGTAACTTAAAAACACGTGGCGGGCAGGAGAGGGCTAAGAGTTGGCGTGTCAAGAAAACGATTGGCGTAGCTAAACTCGTGGAAGAGTATTCCAATTTCATATGAGCAGACATGCCTACCAACCACAAGGATCTATCCTCTACTCGCTACACTTCTCAACTTTTCACTTACTCGCCGCTCTGTCCAATCATTACTAAATAAATTATTGGCACCTTATTTTATTTGAGAAAGTGAATATTTAAATTAGCCTTATGAGTTATACACTGAAATGATACAAACAAAAATAATTTTTAAAACGAAAGAAAAAGCAAAAAAGACAGAATTGAGTTCATTTTTGGTCCAAGATAAATATAAATACGAGAAATTCATTTGATTAAAGTCACTCCATAAAAATCAATTTTATAGAGATAAACTTAACAATTAATTTTGTAATAATAAATATCTTTTCTAATTTTTTTTTAATTTACTTTTCCAATGGTCATTAATATTAAATATTCTTTCCATCATTTTTTCATTGTCTATTTATTTGTTTTTTAAGACGTTTTAAATAAAGTCTTTTTTAATATTTTTTATTTTTAAATTTTTTATATTAAAAATATTAAATATCTATACTATAAAAAATAAAATTTAATATAAAATACAGCAAAATTAAATTTTTTTTAATCTTCATGAAAATAAAATAAAGAAAAAACAAATAGAATTCTATCATTTTTTAAAGTTTCCTTGTGCTCTAGGGAAGCGAGTACAACTCCATTTGGTAATCGCGAGAACAGCTTAAAAAACCAGAAATCGCCAAATTTCCCACCATAAATATTGAAAAGCAAAATAAAAAAAAAGGAAGTTGTTGTCAAAACCCCAAAACCCCTGCCAAGATTGTCACGGTTGAAGAAGGAAAAACCCTACGGCATTCCTAAGAGAAAAATACTTCCCACAAGAGAAAAAGAAAAGGGAAAATGAGCGGGGCTATGCGTAAAAACGCTAGCATCATCCGGCTGTTACAGAAGCAACCATTCACCGATCTCACTGACCCGATCAACAGAATCCACCCGTTTCTCAGAAACCAAACGCATGCCCAAACCAGAGAGTATTTTCGGTTCCCAAATGTTCTGAGAAAAGTGAAAGAATATGAGATCTCCCCTTCTCTTTTTGCTTCTTCGTTTTCTTCTTCCTCCTCTTCCTCAACGAGGGTTGGGTTAGTTGGTTGGTATTTGGGAATGGTGAAGTCATGGCCCGTTTTAACCAAGAGCGTTACTTCCTCGCTTATATATGTAGCTGCTGATTTGTCTTCTCAGGTAAATTTCTTATGTAAAGTTGGGATTTTTTTCCCATAACTCAAGATGGGTTTCTTGTTGATTAAAAGGTTAGGAATTTGCTTTTGCATTTTGTTTGGTTGATGAGAAAGGGGAGGAAAAGGAAAGAAAATCTTTCACGGGTCAATGTTGGGTTGTCTGGAAACTTCTCCATGTTATTGGAAATGGGTTATTTTTAAAAAAATAACTTTTTCTCACTAAACACGTGCGAGTCTATAGATGAAAATTTGACAAGTCAAATAACATTAGTGTGAACTTATTTGTATTTCAGTTCTGGCATTTTGAGCATAACGCTTCACATTTGTATCTATTGCTCCAACAAATATAATGTAGTAAATCATTTTGATAAACACATGATAAGTGTACTGGCCAAAGAAAAAAAATTACTGTTGTTTTATTGGTTTTTTAGTTGTCTAATTATTATTGTTATATGGTATTGGGTAAAATTCGGTTTAACCTTATAATTTCATTACTTTATTTAGTATGGTATTGATGTTTGTAAAAATTAATCATTATTAGGTAACCTACGTTTTCCTTGACAATACAGTTGAAGATGTGAGAGAAATTATAAATATCAAATTGCCTGTATAAACTTGTTGCATTTAAAAGTTGCTGCTTCTTGTTATCTAGTTCTTTCCTTTATGGCTAATTCTTTCATTTATGTATCATGTACTAGTCAAATTGGTGATTACTTGTGTAAAATTGCTAGAAATGTAGTTATATATATGCGTGCTTGGTGTATGGCTGACATTACAATCTATAGTTTGCTTGCATTTGATTATATAATTATACATTTGCACATACACAAAATCCTGTTTGCATGTGTGGGCTCAGGAGTGCTTTTGTTATTAGTTTCATTGAGACTTACACCTGTATTTTTTTTAATGGGGACTTCTATGATCAGACAATTTCCAAGCCATCTTCTGAACCTTATGATTTAGTGAGGACATCACGTATGGCTGGATATGGGATGTTAATTTTGGGACCATCCCTGCATTTTTGGTTCAACTTGATGTCGAAACTCTTCCCAAAGCGAGATTTGATCACTACTTTTAAGAAAATGGCCATGGGGCAGCTACTTTATGGGCCTGCCATGACTGTTGTTTTCTTCTCCTTGAATGCACGTCTACAAGGTATGCACAATTCTTTCCTTACATGTCATAAAATAAACACAATTTTCTTCTTTAGTTGCCCAATTATGCTGATTATTCTGTCATAATTTTCCATCTGTTTTACCTCATTTTTATATGGAAAAACGTACCCAAACTTTAAGGCATGTTGAACTGCATCAATATAAATTGTTAATACTTATACATCACCTTTTCTATCTATAGGTTGTGATTGGAGAATGTAACTTTTAAACAATTTTTAGCCTTATTCAACTAGGGGCCATATTGCACCTAACAGAATAATGCATTGACCATCACATTCAAGAAATAATTGCTGCAAATACTTTGCTTAAGCAGTTGCCATGGTTTTATGGCTTAGGTGAAAGGAGTGGAGAAATTGTTGCCCGGTTACAGCGTGACTTGGTCCCTACAATGTTAAATGGTGTCATGTACTGGCCCTTTTGTGATTTTATCACCTTCAGATTCATCCCAGTTCCTTTGCAGGTATGCTTGCTCTCCGTCCTCTGTCCCTCTCTCTTTTCCTGGATTCTGTTGTGTTATTCTTTGCTCACTCTTCCTCCTCTGGTTGTAGTTGAACTTTTAATCATGAATTTTTTTTCCTGGTGCTATTCTTTTTTGCAGCCACTGGTGAGTAATTCATTTTCATACTTATGGACTGTCTATATGACATACATGGCAAGTCTAGCGAAACCAGCCACAATTACCAGCTGATTGATCTGGTGCTGTCAATTCCCTTGTGTTCAAGATCTGACTTTTTACAACGGACAGGAGATCCGATGAGAATTTTGTGCTCACAGGAATCTGGTCTTGATATAATACTGGAAGCATACTTAAAGCAAAATTCAAGGGGATGAATCAAGTATGACTCATCATGTTTTTGTTTTGAAATTTTCTCTTTCCCCCGCTTCTCCCCATCTTCTTCCCCCATAGTTATCGTTATTCTTGAAATGTGACGCAAAAATCTAGTTATAGGAAGGATATTAAAGCATTCTTTGACACCAGTATTTGCTGTTCTGTATTCTCGAGTGTATCATCATATGAAATTCTTTGCCCTGCAATCTTTCTTTTTTTTACTTTTGGGTAGCCCTACTGCCAGAATTGGGGCTAATTCCATTTAAGATAAGAGAAGAGACCGGTCCAAACATGCCATCAGGGAATCAGCATTACATTTCTCAAATCTAGCAGGAGATAAAGTATGTGTTCCGATTTATATTGTAAGGATCCATCATAATATTCCCTAACTGACTAATGTAGATGAACTGTTTAGTTTGTGTAAAGCAGATCATTAAATTCTGGAGCATTCTGGTGTCGTGTTTACTGGCCGGTCATATACTACCGTATTATGCTTAACCATGTTTTGGCTCGAAATGAAAGGGAAAATTATACTGTATCATATTGGAAAATACAAAGCCCGAAACGGATAGTTCACTAACAGCAACAGCCAATTCATTAATGGAAGCAGAAGCCAGTCGCTGTTTATAAATGCGGGAAAGAGAACTGATGCCAAGATAAACTCTCATGGCAAAACTTATAGATGATCCATATAGAAGGTATATTCAGAAGTGTTTTCCCACATCTTCAAACACGTGCACTCCTGAGAAGTATTTGATTGAAGTGTCAGAAGTAGAAAACATCTTCAATTCTCTGTCAAAACAGGGCACAAACTTGTCCAGCACTGACCAGCCTACTGATTCCCACAGCCCCCATTCCCAGAATGATAATTGTCTTTGATTGATGCGCGATATAATCCAATACTCCTACCATATACAAATTGCTACAGCTGTAATTATTTAAGGCAAACATCTTGGTTGGTGATCATCAGCGGAAGACAAGAAGGTTAAAAAGAGCCGTAGAAAAACACGTCAAGTTTGATTCCACATCATTCCATGAACCGAAATGAAGAAAGAACTAACGATGTTTATATCTTTTCATTAATAACACGGTACAATATTTGGGGAAAGACGAAATGATAAAGAAAGAATAACATAAAACTAGATATCGACTGAAGAATTGTTCAACAATGGGATCTTAATCATATCAAGTATTTTACATTCCTCGTATAAACCTATCTCCTTCTAATGATCATAGGTGCTAAAATCTAAATGCTTGTTCATCAACTTGATTCAAAACTTTCGCAGGTCGCAGCTGTTAAGAGTGTTCCTTTTACCCAACCCCTACCCCCAACCTCCCCAATGAAAAATGGAATTCTTTGGCTAATATTGGTAGAGCTCCACAAGAAGACATCAAAATTCAAGCAAAGGTATATTTTGATAAAAGATAAAAAAACCTAATCATATATTCATTCTGAACGTGAAATCATATATGATAATTTCCTAAGCTAGTTTAAGTGAACCAGATTCTTCTCAACCTTCAAAAGAGCTAAGACTAATTTTCTCGAGCTGCATAGCCCAATCTTCACCAAGTACCTGGGGATTCAGTTCCATTGCAGCACGAAAATCCAACATGGATGCATAAAATGATTTTGCTGAGTGTTGCAAGTAATTCTGATGTAACATTCCATTCAATCTTGGAATGAACTGACCATTTGATTGCTTCAAATTCCCATCTCCAGACCTCAACCCAGCTAATCCTACACAGGGCTCAATCAATCTTTTTAAGAAAGCATCCAAGCCATTATTCAGTAGGTTAACACAATCCACAGAAACACTAATTCCGTCCATCCCCAACTTCTGCTGCAAACGACTTCTTAGTGATCTTGTATCGGGTAGCTCACCTCTATTTTGGCAGGTGTCTAGGTGGTAATTATTACTTAAGAAAGCATTAGAAAGAGCTTTGCGAGCTCCACCAAAATTTATGGAGATACCAAGAGGAGCAGTAACTGGACTTCTACTCTGAACACCCGGGCTACCAGCCACCTGCTCAACCTCTTCCCCATCTTCCACAGATGCAACTTCAGCAGGAGGCCTGCTCCCAAGTGAAAGCAATTCAGTAGCACTCTGCTCTTGTGCCTTGGAAACTGACTCCTCACATACAATACTCTGTGGCTTTCCAAGAGGTCCCAATGGACTTGGACGATCCCGGAACTTTCTATCCCGATTGACAGGAGACCTACCTTTGCGAGGGGAAGGAGGAAATGCATCGCCATAAAGAGACTGAAGACAATTTCGCTGATAACCATTTCCAATTTGAAGGTTACTTCCTACCTTTTTAATAGTTTTCAACGGTGGAACTTTAGCAATGCATGCATTCTTGATAATGGATCTAATAAGCCGGTTGTGAAGAGGGATGTTTTCCCTCCCAATGGTCTTAATGCAAGACTTATCAAAATCACATTTGCCAATCTTCAAACTAAACAACCTTCTCAGCTGATCAAAGTACTTCTCTGCTCTTTGATGCCCAACCTTTCTAACAATGAGAGCTTTTAGCTCTAAGGTATCAACACGAGCATAGTTTTGATTGCGCATCATCTTCCACTCCAGCTTCCTCGATTTCACTCAAGTAAAAACCCCCATCAAAAATCAATTGCTAAAGTAGAAATTTTTCATCAAAATATATCGAAACCCAGATGGCAAATCATACCCTCCTCAACCTAAAACCCTAAACCCCAAATGCTATTTCCACCTGCAAATTAACCATAATTCCATCAATATAATATCAAAAAATTTACACATTTACAAAAGAAATTTAATTCAAAGAGGCAAAAAGCAAAATTCTATTAGTAATTGATTAATGCTATTAGTTACTGACTAAAACCCAATACAAACAACAAAAGATGACAAAAAAAGGTAAAATTTGGTGCAATTAATAAATTATCGAGACAAGTTATCAGCGAAGGCAATCGAACAAACTCGAAAGATTTAAACAGTGATAATAAGGAATAATTTATACCCATTTGAGATTTCTATAAGAATAGAAAAGCCAACAAGCAAATTGAGAATTGAATTGAGGTGGAGTGAGATACGCACCAATGTCCGTCGATGACGATGATCTATTTGGCTATGAACTCCGAGTTTCTTTTCTCTTTTTTCTTTTTCTTTTTTGTCCCTTTTTCCGACCCTTTTTCCTGTAGTGTTTGGTGATCGGCTCCTTGTCTGTTTTGTTTTTTAGTTCCGCTACTAATGTGAACAGGGAAAAACCAAACAGGACTTTACAATATTGAAGGGCTGAATATTCGTTTAAGACTAAAACCTCACGTGCTCTTTTTTTAACGTTTGTAATATGAGACTTGTTAGGGGCTGTCCACTTGTGTTTCTTATATTTGCTTCAGCTTTCTTTTGTATACTTTTTTAACCGAAACTTGTAGCTGCTTGATATATTTGGCTTTGGGGTTTGTTTCCCCTGCTTTTGACATATATTATGATTAGTGCTTCAGAGGAATATGTTTAGGGATTGAAAGCTTCATGCCTGCGTTCATAAAGACCACAGGGCTGAATTTTGTGTTGAGGAAACTTCTGGAGCGAGAAATCTGTAGGCATAACCATAACTCATCCTGTCATTCATCTGGCCTGCCATCTGTCTTTGACCTAAAATTCATCCAGCTTTCATGCTTTACACATTGGGATTTGGAAGGTAATATATGGAAAAACTGTTAAGTGCAACTTCAAATCCCTTCTGCAGGTTACCTGTATGCCAATGCTTAAGAAGCATCAGGACTTCAGCAGCATGGTCTAATGAATATCTAACTTACATAAAGTTTGAAGGACAATGGAACCATTTCCACCCAAATTACTTTGGGTAAATTTTTTATTCTTTGCATATAAATTTGGAACAATGTGGTACAGTTTTATAGATTCCAAGGAGAATACATAACTAATAATCTGTGAAAAATCCGATTACACCATGAATCATAGTACAAAAGTATACAAAGGAGATCCTACTCTAATTTTTGAACTCCTTCCAATGAAGTTTCAGAGAGTTCTCGGTCAATCTCTGATGGTTTCAAAACCGGAAGAAGACTAACTGAAGCCTCATCTGTAACTTCTTGATGCGGTTGTGCCACATCCAAATCATTTGAAGGAACCACCAGCTGTTCTATATTAAAGTGGGTCCATTTCCTATTCTTTGCATGTAATAAAGCAGGGTAAAGGAAGATCCCAACAATGATAACCATACCACTTACAACGAATGTTTTTACAGAAGCTAGGCACATGACAAGAACAAGCAATAAGGCAGGGGGCAGGCAAAGCATTGTTACGCCAAATGTTTGTAAAGGAACTCTATAAGGCCGATGTAGTTCAGGCTTTTTTACTCTCAATTTTATAAAAGCAGCAAATTCTAGAAGCATTCCTATCGAATATAGGAAGTTAAGAAATTCCAAGATCTCCTGAAAACTCATCCAAGACAAGAAAATAACTCCAGTGGCAGAGCACAAGATGCTAACTGTTGGTGTCCCATACTTTGACCTACAAAATGGATTTTTAAAGACCATGGTCATGGAAAAGCTCATAATGATATTCATACATTACTTCACTCGAAATAAATTTAGAGATGTGTTTGCTTGATTATGTTCTGAATGCAGGTGCAAAGGTATAAAAAAGGAGTTCAAAGTTCAATCAAACTTCCATGGCAAAGTTACAGTGTAGGCTCTTGTAAAAGCTTCAGAGGAAATCTCTAATTTTAAAGCTTTCAGTCAATTTTGAAGATGAGTAAGAAATTGGTTATTTTCCTGCAAGCTTAAGCGAAACAACCAATTTGGGTGTTGACACTCGGGCAATCTGTTGATAAAGAGCCAAGTACCATTCTGTACCTTCGTTCATTTAAAATCATACCCCAACAAACCAACAGAGGTCAACTTTCACTAGATCTGCTTCCATATGGATCTATAAATACTCATAAATCTGCACAATTAAGGAAGCAAAATCGGAGAACTAACTTACCTTGAAGCAAAGATGGCTGGGAGCATTCCCATCTCACTCATTCCAAGAAGTTGGAAAGCATCTCCACTCATCTCAGCTTCAAACAACCCCAAGTTAGACATTGCAGCAGCTGCTTGAATCCACCATTTGAGCCAGAAGCCTCCTATCAACATCCCAACTTCTGCAAAATATCCATCAGTCCACTCACTAGAAGAAGAGTTCAAAGCTCCTGTCCCAGCAAGAAGTGGAATTAAGTATGAGGAAACCACCAAAACCACTGCTCCAAGAAGTGCCTTTGGAAAGGTCTTACTTGGATTTTCAACCTCCCCTGCAAGAGTACTTGCCTTGTCCCAATAATTCAGATTCCAAAACATACTGTTAAAGTAACCCCTCCATTCCACCTTCTTAAAATCCATTACAAGCCACCGCTTAGGCTTTATTCGAGGAATCAAGAGAATCCCCATTACAAGAAAGGGGAAAAGTGAGAAAGCAGCAAGGGAAACAGCAGAAAACCCAACAATATGTAGTCCTCTATAATTCAAATATGTTAGCGAAACTGTGATTCCTAAAAGAGCTGGAATTCGACCAATTAAATTGTTGAATATTGGAAATGAATGCTTCAAGTAATCAAGGAACAAAACAGGATATAAGGCATTATCCATAACCCCACTAAACCATTTCCAAAATCCTTCTTGAAAACCCCAAAAGGGGCCGAAAGCTGAAGATATCCAAATTACATAACCGCCATTTTCAGGAAAGCTTGTAGCAAGCTCAGCTGTGACTAGAGCTTCAGGGATGCTCCAAATTAAAGGAAATATCAAGAAGCCAAGCAAAGACAAAAGAGGGCCACCTCCTGCCTTCTGAATCCCTACACCAAAAAGGACCCCCAGATACCTCATAGAATATCAAAGCAATAAGTGGCAATACTGTTAGTTTTGGATTGGCTTTGACAACAGTGCTCTTGTCATCACTTACCATTCCCTCCTCACCCATCCACAGACAGGAAAAGTGAGAAAGAAAACAATATCGAAACGTAACGCAACAGATAGCTTCCCTATAAATGGAAAAAAAAAAAACAAAAATCAGATCTTTTTGGAGTTTGAAGGTAGCAACTTTAACACCCCAAGTATAAAAACATATGAATTTGGTTTAAGAATGGTAACCTGTTTTCTTTTCCAAGGGATTACAGAACTGGGTCTTGCCTGGAACCTCAAAAGGACACAATCTTTCAGTTTCAGATCTTTGAATAACAGAACATGTTGTAGGTTTTGGTCCTTCAATTGAATCTGTCCTAATTCCTTTCGGCAACTACTATTCGTAGGGGGTTTCGTTGATCCCACGCCTCGTTGCAGAGAGTGTAGTATACTCGAAATTGAATATGATAAAGAAAATAAAAAGGTATTGTCGACCGATATTTATTATGCAAAGATTTTGCTTTGTTCTCCGTGTTTTATTTATTTAACGAGAAAACGAAACTCAAGTTTGCTGACATAGGGGTGTGGCGTACAAGCGCGGTTTGGCGAGCGTGAGAACAGTGGGGTATCTTCCAGGGATGTGGCAAGCACCAATGCCATTGACTTCCAGCATTTGAAAAATGGCCTGACCAATCCTAAAATGAAATAATTACTTATCGTATTCAAGTTTCAAAGAGTTCAAGCAGAAGGAGCATCTCACCGGTTCGCCCAGACCAACTTTCTGGTCGAAGAGCTCAAGACGGAAGAGCAGCCCTTCTAAGACTATAAATTTCTCTCTATGGAGAACCTTTACTCTAAGGAGCAGAGCAGAAGCTGAAAGATCGCCGAATGTGTCAAGAAGCGTCAGTCGAGATTTGCCTTCCCCTCTTTCAAGAAGCATGAATAGAAAGCGCACATCAGAAACTACAATGCCAGGCATTTCAACAAGTACAAGCAGGAGTACCACTCCGTTTACGTTCTGTCAGTCCACTGCTCGGAGAAAACCTCGCCCAGTTGAAAAAAAATGCTTGACTGCACCCTGGAGGAGCTGTGCTATGGCGGGCTAGAAACGATCAAGTTAATCAGGGATGTCGTCTCGGATGAAGGGTATGTTTCTCCCTTTCATACATCATCCTTTTCCTAAGTACTAGTGCTTACGACATGTTTAGGGGTAGGCAGAATTCATAATCTGTGTCTTTTAAGTCGAAGATTCTACTACAAAATCAAAGAGTAATTGTTAGATGAAATTTTAAAAATAGATTTAAATTTAGTCTCTAACATTATGCTTGAGGCAGATGTTGGCAGAATGATTGTCCAAGAAGAGGGAGGAGACACCAACAATAAATATGAGGCCAGGATGCAAAATGCAGGAACAAAAGTTACATTCGAGGGAAAGGCAATAAGAAACCAGGCAATCTTCCAGCAGATATCATTCTCCTCTGTTTAGGAGCCAAGTCGACAATTTGGAGATTGCCGTTGAGGTCCCTATGGTGAAGGCTCTCACAGGTTGCTCCCTTTCAGTTACTCAGGATATGAAAATGTCATTCAGGTTCAAGGAATGTCCAATGCCAAAGGAGGAAAGCAAGGTGACTTGAGAATCACATTTCTTGTCAACTTTCCCACAGAATTGACCGATCAACAAGGCCTCGAAGCATATATTGGCAGATTGTTCTTGATTGATCATTAGATAATCCCCCTCCTTATGGAATTATTGCATTGTAACCTTTTATAGGATGCAGAAAACATCTCTTAAATATGATACTCTTTATGCAATTAGTACAAGGTAATACTTTTTGCCTCACATTTTATGGAAGTAAAATGTGCAAATATGTGTAACCATGAGAAGAAAAGAAAATTGCACTTCATAGTTCTTAAGTGGTAATTAAAAAAATACAGTTCCAAGCCCTTTCTTGATCCTCTTCTTTTACTTTTTTGTACTACTGCTTATCACTTAAGGCTATTATATGTCCTGCTTTTTCACTTTTTGAATAGAATGTACTGTTTATCTGTCTTCTTGTACAAAATTTTCTTTTATTCGGATAGCTAAGCATCATCTCTATGTTCTGCAAAAGCCATGACAAAAATGGTATTGCCTATTTACTAAAGTTTTCCTTTCACTATAAAAATAAAAAAGATGCAAGTCTTAATACATATTTATGAAGACCACCATACCAACAAGATGGGAAATGATTAAAAAAAGAATTATACAAAAAGAAAAACGTGTTCATGGCATACCATTGAAGAATGACAAGAAATCAAGGCATGCAAAAGTAGTAGTTATATCGGTACAATTTCTGTTAAGTCAAGGACTGGATTTCTTTGGAGGAGATTGCTGAGAAAGAAAAGGAACATCCACCACTTTCCCAAGAATATTTTCTCCAACCACCACAGTATCCCCACACGAAGCTGCTTGCCTCTTGATGTAGCCTAAAGCAAAATGGTCAGATTCCTTTCTTCCAGTGGTATAGCTTGTCAGCTTTCCAACCTGCAGAATTTAAAGAATAGCTTTGTGTCAGTTCCCCATTCTACCTTAAATATGAACCAAAAGTAAACGAATTCCCTCTTAATTCCAATATATACATGTATTTCAATCTAACAAATCACTTTTGGGAAAGAAATGGACTAGAACCTTCTTCCCATTAACTGTAATTGGGCTGCCAGGTTCTACTGGTGCTGACAAATGAATTCCCCATAGTCTCTGTTTAACTCCATCATACGTAATGAGTCTTGATATTGTCTCTTGCCCCTTATAACAGCCTAAGAATAGTAGAGTTAGATAAAGCATCTTTGTAATTTTCTTAGCAGATAGTCAATGGTAAGGATTAGCTACCCTTGTTTATAGAAATTGAGTTCCAAAGACCAGCCTCCAGAACATTAAATTCATTAGTGAGCTCCTTTCCAGGAGCTGGTCGTCCTGCAAAGTTAAGTTAGATTTGCCTAAGAACTTACTGAATTACAATTAATCGGGAAAAAGTTATTAAAAATCAATTAAATCATAGAGCTACTTAATAAACATTTGCCTAGACTGCTTTTTTAACAAGACTAGTAACAGAAATGCTCAAAATGCTTCACTACAACCGGACTTAGCAAATGCTTGAATTTGATATTCTGCATTAAGCAAATAAGTAAACAATGGAAGCCATGACAGGCCAACAAATCAAGAATTACCACCTTGTATAACCCTTAGTTTTTCCCAGGCATTAAAACCCAATGGAATAGCACCCTGAGAAAGAAGAGTTTTCCAGACTGATCCGGCTGTCTCTGGTGACATCATCAACAAAAAACCTTCTTGAGAAATTATATTTCCCACCCCAACAGTTAGAGGCATACCATTCACCTGAAATTGGATAAAAATCCTACTTTTGATATACAACAATAAACACTAAACAGAATACAATTTGACTACTTTCCTATTCTAAGTACTATTTTGACATCAAAGAGTCTTACCAGTGTGGAACTTACCTCATAAAAAAATTAAAAATGCAAAATAGTCCAAGACAGACCAAAATTAACAACTTGCTCAAAAGAACATAGAGATCTTACGCTGTAATGTCGATTTGCGCCATATGGTTGTCCAACAAGATCACTGAGATTCAAATTAGCCATCACCTGTTTACACATTACAACTGAAGTCATTAAGATCATCAAAATTAAAACCAACAAAAAGAGCACTGCCATGGAAGAATAACAATTTATAGAAATTTCCTTACTTGGTTGCTTTTTGGACCTGCTAGAGCAAATAAGCAAGTTTGCTTGGTGATGTCTTGAATCTCTACCTTATCAGCGAAAAATATGTACCTGCAAAAGAAAAGCTGAGCGCCACAAACCAGGCAAAGCTATTCCGGGAAAAAAGCAATGAATGCAATGATCTCCAAGAGGTTGAATGGACATACTTATTGAGCATTTCAGTTATGTTTCCACAGGTCTCGAGTGAGACCGCTAATACTACTGCCTTTTTCTGTGAACTTGAACAAAAGACTAATAAGCAAACAAATCAACTAGGATCAATCCATTGCTAAAAAAGCAAAACAAAAAAAAAAGCAAACTAAAATACATTAGAAATAGGAAATAAGACTACCATAATCCATGCATAAGCAATATCTATCGTCCTCGCTGTTGGCGTAACAAAAACTGTATCACATCCCTATGAATTTCAATTGAAGAAAATCCATTCAGTTTGAACCAAATGAAGCAAAAAGACAAAGCAAACAAAGAGGGTATGTATATCTACTACTCCCCAAGAAACACACACCTGTCCTTCACTAAGACATTCAAAATCTGCAGTAGTTTGGTTGTGAAGAAACTGAATACGGTCATCTCCACTGACTTCAATAATTCAATCCAATATATTATTTTCATAAGAACAAATCATACTAGCATAAGTAAACCTCAAATGAAGTGAAGTGGGAAATAAGCAGAGGTACCTACCTCTTATCCGTCCAAACTGGGAAAGGTCCATAACCTAAAAGCCATCAAATGAAAAACAAGGATATTATTAGAAAAACTAAGAGATTCAAGACACAAAGAAAATGAAAACGAGAAATATTGAGTCAGAAATTGAATTTAAAGTAGAAACGCACCACCACCCCATTATCAAATGCATCCAAAGCTTCATCATCATTCTCAAAAGTTTCTATTATTCCTTCCTCAGAAACCTTCGCTCCTTCAGCTGTAACCGTATCCTGTAATCAATCAAATTAAAAATCCCAAAAAAAACCATACTTTTTCAATGAAAAAAAAATTGCTCAGGGTAGCGCAGGGGGAGACTGTACTAGGAAGTCATGATCGATGGGGGGAGGGAAGAGTTCGAAAGGTAAGGCGGCCATAATAGAGGTAGAGCAAGATTTTCTTGATGAGAGCTTGTTCTTGTTACTCTTCTTGGTCGAAAATGCCGCGTTTCGGAAAAGAAGAGGAGCGCCTATAGAGTATTGAAGACGAGCGGTGGAACGGCCAACCAAGTGAGCCACGCAAGGCGTTGCCGTCGCGGTCGCCGTCGTCATTCCTTCGTTTGTTGCAGCGGCTGCCGGCTGGGAAGTGGAAAATACGGGAATCTGATAACTAAAAAAAAAAAAGAAAAAGGAAAAAGGATCTTAACCGTGAGAAGCTCGGAGGTCCACCCGGTTACTGAAGATTGTGTTCTATCTATTACATTTTTGAAGAAGGATGTTTATATTGTAGCCTTATAACCGGATTATATCATTCGCAATTATAATTAATTAGTTATAATTTACAGTCATAATTTAGAATTGTGTAAATTTTATTAAAATTAGGATGATCCCTGTAGCTACATTATGAAAAGGCCATAAAATATAGATTATGTTGGAGCAAATTTTAATTTAGTATTTTTAATAGCGTTTGTAAGAAAAATTATATCGTATTAATCAATTATATGAATGTATAATTTTTACAAATAGAGAAAGAGATAAATTGATATTTATTAAATACTTATTTGTTTTAATTTATTTTTAATTTATTTATTTTTTAAAAATAAAAGCTGTGTCAAACAGTATTTTATTACAAGCTCTTAAAAAATAATTTTTTTAAGCAAAATTAAATAAAAAAGAAAGAAAGCTCCAAATAGAAGTTTTCTTTAGAAAAAAAAAAAAAGCCAATTTCTTATGAGAGTTTTCTTTTCTTTTCCAACAAAAATTTTTCTCAAAAATGGCCTCCTCCCTGTCTCTATATCCATCTCCCTCTTCTCTCCTCCTCCCTGCAAATCATCTTTTTAGATTTTTTTTATTCTTACAAAAATAAAAAAAAAATCTAAAATTCAAAACTACATTAAGATACTATTTTTTTTATTTTATTTTTCATTTTATTTTCTATCATTCTTTTATTGCTTTGAAAAGTCTTTTTTATGATTGAATATTTCTCAATTTATTATTTGATATAATAATTATGTGATGTTTATTTGTTCTTACCTTTTTCTTTTCTATATAATATTTGTTTATTATAATTAAAATAATTAGTTGTTAATGATTGTTCTTAACATCAATTTTGTTCAATTCCAAATGTCATAAATTTTAAGTCAATCTTTAAAAAAAACAACAAATATTTTTTTATATTTTTCTTTTATCTTTCAACAATTCATAATATTATAGAAAAAATTATATTTTTTTCACACTCATCTTTTTTTATTTGATTCAATTTTTTTCTTGATTTATTAAATACACTTTGATAATAATTTTAATCAAAATTAAAGTTTATATAAGTTGTTTTACCAAACAGCTTATCTATAAAAAAAACTTATAAAAAGTAAATTCACCAAATAGCTTTAACTTAATTTTAAAAGCTATTATTTTTAATAAAAGTTTTACTAAGAGTTGTTCCTAGATATATGGTTTTAAAACAGTATTTAATCAAAAAAGATAATAATTCTATTAAACATCCAGTAAATTTTTTTTCATTAAAAATATATTGTTCAAATAAAAATGAATAACATTTGTGATTTGGAAGTTTACATTTTTGTTAAATGATGTATATAAACTTTCTAGATACAAGACTTATACTTAGCTAAATGTTAACAGAATATAAACTATTACAAAATTAATCCAATTGAGAATAACAGGTATAAATTAATTGACCTAATCAATTATCCTACTTTTATATATATTATAGATATTATGTGAAGTTTGCAATTATAAGTTATAGAATGTGATATAATTACTTGTTATAATTATATAGTTTCATGAGTAGGGTATCCGTTATTTTTAAGTTACCCTAATGTTATTATTTGATAAAGGATCCAAATCTTATATATACTTGTTAAAATTTTTGAATTACCATCTGAATCTGTACATAAATATTTTAAATATTTTTTGTTAAATATTTGATTAAAATAATTTTTTATGTATATTATTGATGAAAAGTAAATTAATAAATTAAAATTAATTTATAAAAAATAAATAAAAATTTCAAAATAATATTTAGAATAATTAATGAGTTTTAATAAATATTACATTAGTTATAAAAAATGTATAAACAAAAAATAATACATATAAAATTAAAATTTAATATTAATAATCATTATTTATAATCAAGTTCAGTGGTATCCCAAGATCACTAGTTGAATCCCATCCAAACTCGCGACAAGTAATAGTTTTAATACTCAAACCCGATTATAAGATACTTTAATTTTGCTTAATTGGATTGAGTAATACAAGATACCGATTAAAAAGTAGTCATTGACACACTCTTAATTATAATTGAACAATTTCAAAATTATAATAAAAAAATAACAAATAAAATGCTCCTTTTTAAGTGGACTTGTCAAAATGAGCTTAGTCCATTGGTTGACTCATTTTTTATTAAAAGTGGGATTAGTTGGGGTATGAAAATTCAAACTCACATTAAAAATGAGTCTAGATAGGCTAATCCAACTGATCAGTGAGTTGTCTCGAGTTGGTACGGGTCATAAGAAAAAAATAAATTAATAATTTTATATATCTAGCTATATAAAATTAATAATTTAGTTATCAATAGTATTGTTTGTTTTATATATTTCAATGTCTTAAATCTTTGCTTGTCAAATTAATAATTTTGGTTAAGATTAAAACTCATTATCTCCTTTTCTTTTATAGCAATGAATGTTAATTAATAATAATTTAGACCTTAAAACATTATTACTGCCTAAACAAGATTCAAATATTTTGCTTAAATATGAGGACTTGAGAGGATATAAATGAGTTTTAAAGTTTCTATTTATTTGGCTATGTACTTATGTTGGTAGGATTGTAATTTGTACTAAAGATTGAAACTTTATTTATATTTGATATAATTTATTTACTTATTTATGTTTAGTATAATTTATTTGGTTGTAATATATTTTTATTATTCAATTTATAGATTAAATCATGCAACAATTTTATTGATAAAAAGTTTATTAGGTAAAGTTGAGAAAATGATTTTTTTTTTTTGAAAAAAAAAAGTGGATTAACTTAACCCAGCCCATGAGTTGACTAAGGGTGGATGGGATTGGGGTTTTGATAGTTCATGTAAAAATGGATTGACCCAACATCCATATTGACATCTCTACTTTTAAGCATAAAGTTATTTAAATAATGACTATTTAACTTTCAATATTATTTTTAGACGTTGATTTTCCTTTTAATAAAAAATAAAAAAATATAAGATTGGATAACATCTTATCAAATTAGTTAATGAAAAAAAATTAGTGTTTTTAAAGTAGATTTATAAGAATAATAAAAAAATTAGAGATAATAATTAAATAAGTTTCTAAATTAAATAAGTTATTGTTCTTTTATTGTATTCAATCAAGTTTTTATATTTTTATTTGAGATTAAATAAATCTTTATTATTAATTATTAACTAATTATCATTGATCAAAATATCATATGTTATTTTATATTCACATGGCACTGATATGATATTGATATAGAAAGTAAAAAATATTACATAATCATATTATAATATTAAATTAACATGCCATGTCATTATTAATTATAATATGTAAATATATCAAATCATCTTTAATTATGACATATTAACATGTTACGTTAGTATCATATAATATAAAATGATAAATGATATTTTGATTAAATTAATCATTAATTATAAAAAATTATTTGATTTAAAATAAAAATAAAAAGACTTATTTGACTCAAATTAAAAATATAAAAACTTGATTGATCATAATAATAATATAAAAACTTATTTAAATTTTTTTAAATAATTTAAAATTTTTTTTAAATATTATGTAAAAAAATTAATATTCTTATAATCTCGACCTAATGTGTAGCAACAATAATAAAACAAATAGTCTTTTAAAAATTTAATAATAATAATAATAATAATAATAATCTTATGTTACCTTCTCAATAAGGAAAGCTGCCATTGGCCCTTTTTCGAACAGTTATTTAGAGAAGTACCCAAACAGTACCTTCAACGTCCAACTTCTTGTTTTCCCGCCTTTGTCTGTCTGTCAAGCAAGATGCCTGAAAATCCAAAACCAATCCAAGCTTTGTTTCAAACCGTTGAAAGATTCTCGAATTGTGTCCAAACGCACCTTGCCAATTTCACCCGACAGTCTCACGATCCATCGCCCACCAAGAAAAATCCTCTCGTCTCTCTCTCATCATCAGGAGCAAACGCTGACTACCACCCTGCCACTACTACCAAGGTACCTGCCATTCCCCATGGTTCCATCTTTCATATGCTTATTTACTTGGTACCAATCTGGACGCTTGTAAAAGTCAATTACGTTGCTCGTAGCTTGCTTATTAACTGTTTGTCGAAATTCCCATGTCACGGCTTTTTCTAGTATACAAGCTTCTTATTGTCAGGGTTTTTCATTTGTGAGACCCATTTTGTAGTTCTATAAAATTAGCCTGCTTGGTTGAATATTGATTTATCGTTCTTTAACAGAAGTCTGCTGCACCTGTTACTAGAGAAGAACTTGGAAGAGCTACTTGGACTTTTCTTCACACTCTGGCTGCTCAGGTCTTCTCATTAATTACCTCTACTTTTGTTTTTCTCTTCTGCTTCTCAGTTCTTATGTCTATGTCTTTAGACTGATTGTTTTGAATGTAGCTTATTAACCTATTCTTTTTTTTTTCTCCCAGTATCCTGAAAATCCAACAAGGCAGCAAAAGAAGGATGTAAAAGAGCTGGTACTCTGTCATGCTTGGTGAAAGATCTATAGTCTTAACCTTAATCAAGCTTGTAATTTTTAAGCTCAAGCTCGATATGAATTTTGATTAAAAATGAAATGAGCTGAGTCCAAAGACTCCAAACATGCCAAAGCTCTGGTCAGGTTAATTAAACCTTACTTGCCTACATACAGGAATTGTAAGGAGAAATAAAACTGGGTTATAGAAGTAACTTGTTGTCCTTATTGATGATTGAGGACTCATAAGAAGTTCTTTGGCTAGCAGATGTCAATACTATCTCGAATGTACCCGTGCAAGGAATGCGCAGATCACTTTAAAGAAGTTCTGAGGTATATATTCTTGTCTTCTCCACTTCCTTTCTCTGGTGGCAGATTCCAGTTTATGAATCTTAGTCTACCACTTCTGTTCACCTTTCTTTCAGGATGGTATGATGAAAGGGACTGCTAAATAGCAGCAGGATGCTATTCTGCATCTCACCCCATCCGGGTTTGAAATTGAAGTAGCATTAGTATTTGCAATAAAAGCCAACAACAAAAAGGAGAAGAAAGCAAACATAGTCAAGTCCTGAAGTTATTGGGACTGCTGAATGAAATATGATGGAATTTCAAAGTCAAGCCCTTCCTAAATCAAAATTGATAGCTGTTGGATGTTTTAATTGCTTTGTTTGTTTGATTATACTCAATCATTCATTTGGGAGGAAAGGAGAGAAGTCAGTAGGTCCTTTATACTTTTGTCCTGTTTATTCATAATGTTCTACAATGTTAGATTCTTTTGTCTTCAATAAAAATTTGGGTCAGGGTTCTTTCTATAGATGTAGTTTCCATATACTTCCTTTAATGTTATTAATTTTAATCTTTACTGACGAATATATTTCATGCATGGTTCTCAGAGCAAACCCGGTGCAGGCTGGATCTCATGATGAGTTCTCCCAATGGCTCTGTCACGTGCACAATGTTGTTAACAGAAGGTAAATTTTAGCTTCTCTTTTAAGCTGAGGAGAAATATGTTGCAGCTCATGCTTGCATATCAATTAGCATAGTTGCCTATGCAACAGTTCGCTAGTGATTATTCCGAATTTGCATCTGCCTTTAGCTTTGAGCAATATCAGCTTGACCATTTTTATAGGTTAATTCTAGTTAGTTTTGACTTTTGACATTGGTTATTTCCAACAGCCTTGGTAAATTGATATTCCCTTGTGAGCGAGTGGAGGCAAGGTGGGGGAAGCTGGAGTGTGAGCAGCGCGCCTGTGATTTACAAGGAACTACAACTAGCCACATTGAATTCTGAATAGACATATTAAAAGAGCAGTCATGGCCTCAACCCTGGAGTATACTCATATTCAACAAAGGGTGGCGGTTAATTTTGTAATTCTTATATTTATTTGGACATTAGCTCAAGTAACCATCTTTATTGTCGCAACCTATAAATTGTTCGATGTGTAAAAGAATTGTTATTAATCTTTTTTATTTAAGTGCGATAGATCATTTAATTGAATTAATCAATTTTAACGAGATCTTAAACATAATTTAAATTCATTAAAAAGGTTAAATTTCAATCTAAGAAACATGTTTAATTAGTTCATTGAAAGGTTCATTTATCAATAATGAATGTCAATTTCAATGAAAAATTTTAAATAGTTAATTTGGTACATTAATTAACCAAATGTATAGATTTTAAATGTTATGAATTAATTAAATATTTTCGTTTTGTTAATAAATAACTTAAAAATTGAGAGTTCTCAAAAATAAATATTCACAATTTTAAAAATATTTATTTTGAAAATATTAAATTTTTATCATTGCGCATTTATAAATTAGTACTTTGTAATTAAGTGGTACTGCAAAAACTCTATACATGCCTGTCAGTCTTAAATACAAATTCACTAATTAATTATCCAATGCAACTATAATATCTAACTAATCCTAATTTCAGTTGTAATTTCTTTAACTTTTTAAGCTTCTTATGTGTGTGTTTCTTTAAATCTTTAAAGTTAAAATATATAATATGACCCTAAAAGAAAAACGAAATCCTAAATTAAATTAAAGTTCGACTCTTGATAAGAAGCCATGCAAACCAAGACGCTTTACTATAGCCTGCCTATATAAGTAAGGTATCCTATCTCCTGCAATCCAACGTGCAGGTGATTGCTGAGAACAACAGGGGAATAAGAGTTTGAGCTTTTTTGAGCTTCTAGCAGCAGCAAAGCAAAACTCTTTCCGAGCTTCGACCGGCAGCAAAGAATTAAACCGTGTTTCCAGTTCTCCGATAGATCAACAAAAATGAGGCGACGAGGTTTAAGTTTTTCCGTTTTCTTTTTAACAATTTGTATGAAGCATTACCGAGATTTGACTAGCTATAATTTAACGTTCTTATGTCAAGAAAACTTTAGAGCGTTACAAACAGAAGTTGACAGATTCCAGTTTTGGCTTAGAAATTTGTTTACGTAGAAACAAAAAATAATATTACGTTTTTGAGATGCTTGTTTTCCCAAGTCATAGAAAAGATGTTGAACCACAAGAATTTATCTAGCTACCTATATACAACCCACCCCCCATTGCTATGTATTTGCTTGATCAGGTGTTGGATTTTGAGATCAGTTTGACAATATATATTTAGCACCAAACTGATGAACTTTTGAATGGACCAGCAGGTACGTGAACTGCCCTGCATTGGTAGTGTGAAAATAGCCATGCTGCTCCCCTTACTCCAATGTTGTTCCATGTGTCTGGGTTAATTTATAATGTTCATTTACTTAATTTCAGGGATGTGCCATACGTATATATATGACTTTGTAATCGAATGAAAGTTAGGCTTCTGTTTTTTCAGTCTCGACCCGAGATATATATACTTCAATATTTTATGTGTGTTTGAGCTTCCGCCCTTTCACATGTGAGCTGTGTGGTTTCAACCCGGCCCCTATCTCTAGCCAGCTTATGAGACAGCTGGGTTAATTGCTTCAATAAGCTAATTGGTATGGAAAACCTGCAGGTGCTTATAATTGGGTTGATGATGGTGACGATGACGATGATAGTGGCAGTATGGACAATTTTAAGAATTTATCCAAGTTGCAACTGGAAGATCAGCTAAGTTGCTTTCCTCAGAAAAGGTCTATATATATATTTAACTCAAGTTTGTTCTCTTAACATTCTTTAGTGTTTTGGTGTAATAATTATTAATAGTAATTAATTATATTTTACGTATATATTCTAGTAGTAACCACTTAAAAATTTGATTATTTTTTTGTCTAATTGTTGTTAATGCAGGTCTCCCAAAAGAGAGGAAGCACTATCATCGATTGTTAAAACCTTAAATATCAAGCCAGATCATGAGTTTATGGATGAGAAGTACGTACTTTCCTTGCAATGCATCAGTCTTTCAATGGAAAAACAAAAAGAAAGATGGAAAGAACATAAATTAGCTAGCAACGAAAGTTTCTTCAACTAATTTTGCCTTGTTTTTCTTTTTCTTGCAGTTCGATTACATTACTATATCAATGCTTCAAGGTCATGAAGAAAGGATCTGCTAAAGAGCTACGCCTAGCAACAGAGGCCATTGGTTAGTTTTGATTTGCAACAACACATACGCCTTTACTTTTAGAATACGAGTTCTTAATTTTCTCATGTAAGCCAATATTTTTACAGGGTTGATCGCAATGGTAATTCGTTGCCCGGACAAGGCACGGGAAGTGTATAGAGATTCAGTTCCTGCACTTTCCAAGCTTCTCAAAACCAAGTCTAATGACTCGAAGGTAGCAAAAGATAAACATTGAGATTAATGCTTCTCTGATTTTAGGATCCATATTGATGGGTTAATTTGTAAATATGTTTGCAGGCACTACTACATTCCTTGGCCATGGCAGCTTTTTTCACCGCAGATATTTACACAGATGAGACTGAACAAGCAATGCTATTGATATGGAATTTCATTAATCCCGACTGTAGCGTATGTTTTCCATCTTATATCCTCTTAAAGATGTCCTCATTTTGTTAATTAAGACAGAGATTTTAACCACATAAATTAAGCATGTTTAACTCGCTTTAATTTCCATTCGTACGAGTCTGTAATTTGTTAGCCATGTACCCAGCTTCTTGAGTCTTACTTCTATATATACAATTAATGGTCCTTTTACTTTCAATATATCATCGCAAAGTTAAAAGTGAAAATTTATTTTCATCTCAGATGGATTCAAGTAGACACCCACCAGCTATTCTAGCAGCTGCAATATCTGCTTGGTGCTTTCTTCTCTCAACCCTCGATGGATGGAGACTCAGTTACAAGTATTGGCAAGGGTAAGGCCTATAAACATCTTTATAACTTTCTTGTGCCTAGTCAGATTATATATGGAGTTTGTTCTTCTATTTTGGGTTTCGTCTTTATTCCCATATGGTTTTCTCGCAGCGCCCCTAGTTGCCTTCCATTCTCTAAATAGTTTTCAAATTTCAAACCTGCATTTGTTGGAGGGCACAATTAAAGTAATCCTAACATGGCTGCAAACTTATTCTAAAGTAACATTGGTGGTTTTGTTAATGGATGCAGGGCAATTTCATATTTTTCAGACCTAATAGCAAATAAGGATGAAAAAGTCCGTAAAGCAGCCAGTGTGGCTCTAGCTCTGATATTTGAAACCAACACTTTGGAGAAGTTCACAACTCATGAAAGTGTTACTTCAGAAAAGCAAGAAGAGAAGAACAAGATTATTGACAAACTGGGAAGCCAGTCCAATGATATATCAAATGTTCTAAATTATTTTAAGGTAACTGACAAGCAATGCCATATCAGATGTTTTGAATTATTTTGGATACTGATTCTACTAAAACCGTCTGTTATCAGGAAGGGAATTGTCCAGATATATATGTCGAGATTGGTGAATATGAGGTCACTTTATCAACATGGTCTCAGATAATACAGGTATTTAATGTTAAGACACCTTCAGATTTGTCAGCAAGTCTTCTGAAAGAATGAAACTAATCCATTGAATTTGTTCCTTCTATTAATCTTACAGTTAAACTTTCTGGAGCAATTTCTAGGAAAAGATGGATTTATCAACCACATGATGGTAAGTTTAAACTGATACACTCTGCATTCCATTGATCACAGTTTTCTTTCGTTTGCTCAATGTATTTGTTCTATAAACAGGAAAATGAAAACTTCCATGAACTTTTTGAGCTTCTGCCTAAAGAAAGGCCTCCCCCAGCCAATATGCCGTTCATTTCAGAGAGAGAAGAAGTTAAGTAGTTCGTGAAATGAAATTCGAATTTGTCATGTATCAATTTGTGCACCATAATCCTAATGCTGTAAGATTCATTATTCCAACCTTGTAGGTCACTGTTGAATTTTATTTGCCTCGGATTCTAAGAGCGAAACCACACACAAGCTCTTCGCAATTGAAGCTGGAGACGGTAGGACAGATTTTCTTTGCCTTGGCCTTGATCAACTAGAATTCTGTGGTTTTTTATTTTTTCCTATTTCCTTCATGGATGACAAAGCTGTTGACTGTGATAATTCTTACATTTCCCACTTTGGTTTCAGAAAATGACCAAGTCTCCTAATTCTCTCATGAGCAAGACAAGGACCAAGTTCCTGAACAAGCAGCGAGCTATATCACAACAGGTACTCTTTTCCTAAATTATGTTTGTCAAATGAGAAAATAACGGCTGTCTTGAGGGTCAATAAGGAATGTCTTAGCACTCTTGTTCAATGCACTTCAGCAACCCAAGATACATAATTTTTTTAACTAACTGTGCTGTTTGAGCGATCTTTCTAATTTTTTTTCCCTTGTCGGCTGCATCAACCTTTATGTGCAGGAAAAGGCCATTAGCTGCTTAGCTGTTGATGATTGAAGAGATGCGGCCTGACAAAGAATAGTTGAAAGTGCAACTGCTAATGCTCACAGTAGGAACTTTTTTAATTCTTTTCGAATTGATACTGTATTTACTCTAAATAGATTTTATTATTTTAGTTTACAAATAAAATAAGTGCCTTTAGAAAAAGCAAAGACATTTAATAAATTTGCGGTTGGAATCCTATTCACTTATATCAACAGCAACTTTATTGAGTTCTTCGGTTGAGATCTCCATGTTTGATATTCCTCAGTAGTCAGCACAACATACTGTCTGGACATTTGCTTTTGTTAGGAATTATCATTAAATTCAACTCATTCATAAAGGGCTATCGCATAAAATCAGACCAAATCATACAGAAATTCAGCTAGTTTTGTATTAAATTTTAGTAAAGACGACGTGAAACCTTTCATTCAATCCCAAGCCAACCTTCTTCTGCCCTTGTACACAACCCCAAATACAAAACAGCAGGGGTCAGAAAACCATGATGTACCATGAGATTCAACTGCCTGATGGCATATCCTTGGCCTGTTTATCTTCTAACTGAGGGCATTCAACAGACCGATGTGGAGGGGCTTCACCGAATTTCAGAATGTATGCAGTCTCGTGAACAGGTCGCAGTTGCCGAATCACTTGAGCATCCAGGTAAGAATCGCAAGCGAAACACCAAACTGACAGGTCACTGGGATCGTTTCACACAACCATGACAAAGTTACCCACAAACCTTTCCAACTTTAACGCATCTTCTCAAGGAAGGAAGAAAGCAAAATGAGAAGCAAAAGGGAAAGCAAATACTAAATACATACCTATAGCTTAGCGCTATGCAATGGGTTGTTTGCTTATGATGCTCAAGCATATGCTTATTCACAAAACGGCTACATAGCACATCCTTACAGCATAGGCACAACCAATTCTCACTTGGGTGCTGGCACCTTGTCAAGTGTAAAAAGCTTTGAAGATTAGGAAGAGAATTATGTAATCTTGCCCTAAGAATCTCCATCAAAGTCACAAATTAACCACAGCACTGAATGCATACTTCAAAGATGGTTTAGCAGCTCCAATGCTAAAAAAACCATTAACTACTTTATTACACTATAAGTTAATTTAATCCCAGGAAATGGCTGAAAAATATGTGAATAAAACCAAATATCTACACCCAACTTTCTGGAGAAAAAAAAGACTTAGTTTGATCAAGAGATAGGATTGTTCATAGACATGAAATTAATAACAATAGAGTTAAGAGTTTCAGAGAATAGAGGGCTAACCTGTTGCAGGGAGTATTAGGGGTTGGAATGTGAGCGAGATCAGACGATAAAGAAGCCAAGTGATCACACTGCGTTCTTGCTTCCACCCATCCTGATTCAGCGCCGTATATTAAGTCGTAATCATCGTCTTCTTCAAGAACGTTTTCCTGAAAACGTAGATGAATCAGGAACCGTTGAAATTGAAAGAAACTACCGGAAAAAATACTCAAAATAATTGAATAGTAGTTATGAAAGAAAAAATGGGTCGGCCGGTATTTTCAATTGCAGATTAATCAGTGAGATAGTTGGTGATTACCAGGTGAGAAGAGGAAGTGCCCGCTTGGTCCGCCATGGATACAGGACTGCCCGACGATTCCAGTTTCCACCTTTGGTATTCTGAGTCTTCACTTTGGAGATCGGTATTTATCGTACTAGACACAAAATAAAGTAATAAATTAATACTCTTGAAATTAGTAAATATTATTTTTTTTCTTGGGAAAACAGCAAACATTATTCATTAAAAAACTATTAGAACTACTAAACATTATTTATTATTTATTATATTCATGTTTACCAATAACTTATTCATGAATAACTAAGTTTATAAATACATTAAATCTGGATAATTTTCAATTTAATTAGATGATAATGTACTTATTATATAAATGAGAACTAGTATATTAAAATTTTATAAATAATATTCGTAATGTTTGATTTATAAATATTTTATTTAAAATATGATGTTAATTTTTAAATTAATGCTACGTTTTAAATTGAATACTGTTAGATTTGTTGAGAACAAAATGGCTTAAATTTACACTAAAGTTATATTTCATTTTTTTTTTACAAATATAAAAAAAATTAAAAAAAGTATATCCACGCTTTGTTTGCTTATCTTTTACCCATTAAGAAGGGTAAAAAATCTTTACTGATGAACATAATGCACATGAAATTGAAATTCCAAAACTAGTAGCTCACTAAATGTGATCAAACCGAAAACCCTAAAGTAATTTCTAATTTGAGATGTTCAAAGTTTGAGCATTGCAATGTTGAGTTACTTACTTAGTTACCATGGATAAATCATGATGATTATTTATATAATCTTATTAGTGATACTGAGTGGATTAAGGAGATGATTGTAATTGAGTTACGATAGTGACAAATTGTATTTTAAAAAATAATTTATTTATTTATTTATAATTAATTTTGTCATTTTTGGGGTTAATTAAAAAAAAGCAAAAGAAAAAAAAAACGAAACGGGTCACGGGTTATAGTTTATTGGGCCTAAGTACTTTGTGGGGCCAATTAAACCACTGCTGCACGGGCAAGCAAGTCGGTATCCACCTATCAAGGAAAACGGGTCACGGGTTATAGTTTATTGGGCCTAAGTACTTCTTGATGGGCCAATTAAACCACCGCTGCACTGGTAAGCAAGTCGGCATCCACCAGACAAGGAAAACTAGGGTTTTGGAAGCCGTCTATAAATACCATCCTATTCCTGCCAAGCAAAACAATTCCGCGTCATCTAGATTTGCAGTTTGCTCTCGGGCCACCTCCCTTTGCCTTTCAGAGCTTGGATCGAGGAGCGGCTAATCCATCATGGGTCACTCTAACGTCTGGAACTCTCACCCCAAAACCTACGGCCCTGGCTCTCGTGCCTGGTATTTGCTTTCTTTCCTTCGTTCCACTCTTTTTTTTCTTGGATTTCTTAGAAGGAGAAGACTATTATTATTGAATCTTTATTGTAGTGCTTAGTTTTCTGTTTGATGTTATTTTTTAGCATATAATATGTTGACGTAGTGGAAGAGAATTTGTCTTTTGTTTTCCAAGTGCCTGATCCAACGGTATATCATGTTAATCATTGTGCTTAAGGTCTTTAATGACATGAAATTTGCTTAGATTGAGATTGCTATGAATTACTTTGGGAGTAGCATGTTGAAATATTTTGCCCATGGTTTTTTTGAAATCTGGTCTTGTCTTGGTTAAATGATTTTGTGGTGCTTTCATGTTGCAGTAGTGGTTGTTTTGTGGTACTTATAATTATTGTTTCGTATTGATAGCCGTGTGTGCGGAAACCCCCATGCCATCATCAGGAAGTATGGACTTATGTGTTGCAGACAGTGCTTCCGTAGCAATGCAAAGGAAATTGGATTTATCAAGGTATCTCCTCTTCATTACTCTTCTGATGGTTGTAGTTCCTTAAGTTTTATAATTTTTTTTACTATTAATAGTTTCTTAACCTCTGGGTGTTTTCATTTTTGTTCTTTTTTGCAGTACCGCTGAAGAATTTAAATGGTGTGAAGTAGGAAGGAATTCGTCCATTATGAGCCATTTTAGTTTGGTTTTTGAATTTTAATGAACTTAATATGATGTTCTGTTTTTGGTTAATTTACTGTGGCCCTTTAAGGGGTTGTTGAACTAAGAATACTTTGTTGGTTTTTCAATCAAGTAATCATACTGTTTTTGTTTAGTAATCTCTTAATATCTTTCTTGTTAGTTATCTGTTCTTTGCAGTGTGATGATTTTGTTGACTATTGGTATTTTATGTGAATTTTAAATGGAATTAGAGGTTTAAAGTTGGTAGTGTATGGATGTAATGCATCAAAACCTGCCACTGTGGATTTGATACCTGAAAATTTAGAAATGTTTCATCACTCATTAAGTTGTATCCTCTAGAAATTGTAGTGTCTTATGTAAGATATTGTTGATGCTTTGGGCCATCATGCAATGTGGGCATGAGTAGTGGCTGTAGTTTTAGTACCATTCTCTCATCAACTGAAAGGTTTCTTGTAAAAAAGGCAGCTTCTCCTGTTTTATCTCCATTTTTTTTTCATTTCGCCATGAATACCTGAAGATCAGATTCTTTCTTTTGTTTGAACTTTTGGGTTTGGAGAAAGAGATGTAAAGTGAACAGGATAGTATGTCTTTGTTTTTCTATGTTTAAACGTGTGGATCTTTGTGGCCAATTTAAGGAGGAGCTTAGGCTGGCAAACATTACCAGTACTCTAATACTGGTTAACTTTTGACCTTGTTGAGTGCGATGTTTGAAGAGAACATGCAAATTGAGTTACAATGATGGAAATGACGGGAAGAAGTGCCTAAGAGGGCAGGGCACGCTATATTCTGGATGGCAGTACAAATTCATTAGGCTGGGTTATGCAAAGGATTGCTTTGCTTGATTGCCGTTCCGACGGTCCAAGTTTTTGTAAACGAAAATATTTTTTTCTGGTCAAACAAAACTTGAGTAGAACATGTCTGCCAGGCACTGTTTCTAGGAAAGATGCGGCAAAGGTGTAAACGGTTCATTGCATGCTTAGTAAACCTAAAGTGAGCAGGAGAAGCAATTAGACTTGCATTAGGAAGGTCTCATCCATCCTCATCCTCAAGTTATATCTCTAATATTGGGCATGAGGAGAGAGAAAAAATGTAGTTTCCGATTTTGGCATAGTTGAAATTAATGGCAGCTAAATCTACCAGTAATTTTTTGAGGATAAGAGATCACGGTTCACTGAATCATTCACTTTTCAGCCAGGTTAGCCTGTAACCGGGCACTAGCAGTTGTGCGCCCTGCCATA